CCCCTAACTCTGGTAAAAGTGGAGGGTTTGCTGCATAAAGGAGTAACATGACTGCAACCGCAACAGCAGCCAGAGTATGTGTTTCATAATTTGCAGATGGACAAGGTTGTGACTCCAGCGTCCAATGCCAGCTATCTTTTACACAATGTTGTTGGAACACGGAGTGACTTTCCTAAACAGTTTATGCAAACTTGTGTCTTTTGAAAAAAGAAATGTTGCCGTTTTGTTCCTAGATTACATGTAATCAGAAACTTCCCAACTTCCATAACCTCTAAGAGTTTATTCTATTATAGAATGGATATCTTTTATGTTTTGTAAATGCTATGTATGCCTCTCAGTTTGGAGTTTTATGAGAATTTCTGCTTGGCCAAGAAACTGAGCCAGCAGTTTCAGTGTTGGACCACAATCTGCGTAATCCAGAGTTTGGTTTCCCTTGAATCAAGAAATTCCTGAACAGCTTTTCGACAGTCACTTCCTCCCATCCTGATCCACCTTGTAGGATTGCCGTTGTGAGAGTAGAGCAGGCATGGCCAAACTTTCTAACTTGGGGGCCGCATGGCGGACCTGAGCGGGATGAGCAGGCCAGGAGGGAGGAGGTCTTCCCTAAATCCCCTCCCTCCCAAGAGGACTGGCTGCCCAGAGGGGAAGATAGACTTTCTCTCCTTCACACCCACCTCTCATTTTCACTCTCTTTTTCTTCCTTTGGAGAATCATCCTTTACACCAGTGGTTCCTAACCTGTGGGCCGTGACCCACTGCTGGGTGCGAGGCATAAAATAAGGTCCATGGCCGGGGGTGCGTGCCACCATTGGAGGAGAGCAAGAGAGAGAAGGAAGGAAGGAGAGAGAGAGGGAAGAAGTGAGGAAAGAGGGAGGGAAGGAAGGACAAGAAGGAAGGAAGGAAGGAAGGAAGGAAGGAAGGAAGGAAGGAAGGAAGGGGAAAGGGAGAAAGGGAAGGAGGGAGAAAAGAGGGAAGGAAGGACGAAAGGGTGGAAGCAAAAGAAGGGGGGGAGGGAGGAAGGAAGGAGAAAGATGGAAGGAAGGAATGAAGGAAGGGAAGGATGGAAGGAGGAAGGAAAGAGGGAAGGAAGGATAGGATGGTGAGAAAGAGGAGGACCTGAGAAAAGAGTCCAAGGAGCCGCATCCAGCCCCCGGGCCTAGGTTTGCCCATACCTGGGGTAAAGTAAGAGAGAAAAGTTAAGGGCCTTGACCTCAGTGAAAGGAAAGTGGGATATTTAGGTTGAGCATCTCTTAAATGGAATTCTGAAATACTCCAAAATCTGAAGTTGCCCACCCAAGTGACTGAGTTAGTGGCACCTTTGCTTTCTCATAGTTCTGTGTAAACAAACTTTTTTTTCATGTCAACATTACTTTAAAAGGTATTCATTTGCTTTTCAGCTATGTGTATAGGGAAGATGTGGGCAAAATTCAGCCTTCCAGGTGTTTTGGATTTCAACTCCCAGCACTGTAAACAGTATCCTCAAATCCAAAACACATTTGATCCCAATCATTTTGGATAAGGGATACCCAACTTGTTCCATAAACATAAGGAAGAAATAAGTAAATAAACATTTAACCTAAATAAGACACTATACCAACCCCTTAATACAGTTCTTCATCTTGTTGTGACCTCCAACCATAACATTATTTTTGTTGCTACTTTATAACTGTAATTTTGCTACTGTTATGAATTGCAATGTAAATATATAGTATGCAGGATGTGTTTTCATTCACTGGACCAAATTTGGCACAAATACCGGCAGATATGCCCAAATTTGAATAGTGGCGGAGTTGGGGGGGTGTAGTTGGGATTTGTAGTTCATCTACATTCAAAGAGCATTCTGAACCCCACTAATGATAGAATTGGGCCAAACTTCCCACACAGAACCCCCACAACCAAAAGAAAGTATTGTGTTCTCTGATGGTCTTTGGTGACCCCTCTGACACCCTCTCCTGACTCCCCCAGGGGTCCTGATCCCCAGTTTGAGAAATGCTGCAGAATACAGTTGTCACACTCCTGTTATTTCAATCTTCTGACTCCATCATGTGGAATGCTGAGATTTGTAGTTTGGTGTAGAAGAATTCACTGGCTGAGAATTCTAAATAGTCTTCCCTAAACTTCCGTAATGTAGATGCACATTTGTTGTCTTTGTTTAATTGTGCGGTGTTATCATTCAGCATAAGGGATGCATGGCACAGTTAATGCACAACTCTGCAATAAGATTGTAAGCCTATGTTAATGATGAATGTTGTGGTTTAACTATGTACTGCATGAAGTGCATATTCTTATTCCAGTTTTAATTCTTATTCCAGCATTCTGATTGAATGCCTACTGATGCCAGCCACTTGACACTGAAGCGCTGAACAGTTTGCCGCCTGTATTTTAATGCCCCCCCCCCCCCGAACTTGACATTCCTGAATTTTGCATGGTTTTTACCCTCTAAGCTTTCTTGTGTTTAATGTTTGGGGAAGCAGGGAGTGGTGTGTAGAAAAGTGGAGCTCACTGAGGAGCAACTATTACTTTGTGGTTTTTCTTGAATCAACTCTGCAGACCAGCTGGCTGAAGAACTGAGAGAAGGAGGGGCAAGCCGAGGGAAAGATGCCCCCTTTTAAACCCCAGGGTTTTCTCCTTCTCAAGAGGAGATGGTTCCCAAGGAGCATTAGACTCTTGGGAAATCTGGAGACAGAAGCCCTGTTACTCTACAAACTCATAGAAGAGAGGAGTTAGGCATGAGGAAGAACTTCCTGACTGTGAGAGCCGTTCAGCAGTGGAACTCTCTGCCCCAGAGTGTGGTGGAGGCTCCTTCTTTGGAAGCTTTTAAACAGAAGCTGGATGGCCATCTCTCCAGGGTGATTTGAATGCAATATTCCTGCTTCTTGGCAGAATGGGGTTGGACTGGATGGCCCATGAGGTCTCTTCCAACTCTTTGATTCTATGATTCTTTAAAAGCCTGTTGAATTGTGTGAAATCCATAGGAACAAATAAGAGGTCATCCAGACTCCACTTTCCAAATAATAAAGAGCATTGTCATGTGTCCTTATGTGCTATTTGTACTTGGCACATCAAGTCATTTGTGGTGAATCTGTAATGGGTTTCCAATTTGAAAAAAAGAAGGAACTGTTGTAATCAGTGGACACTAACATGATTACCTGTCCCCTACAGCATGAGAAACACTAGAATAGATTGGGTTGCTGTGAGTCCCAGGCTAAGGGAGCTTATATCCCTCTGAGGACAGGTCAGTCACAGTTGTGATAGAAGGAAGGTTTTTCATCTCCTTCAGGGCCTAGGTGTGGTGGGATTGTCCCTTGTCATGTCTCCTCCAAGGCCGGGGCAGTGGCCGTTAAGATGGCGGGAGGGATTGTTTTCTTTTTGTGGGCCTAGACATTATGGAGGCATGGTAGATTGTGAAAAATGCCCCTCTCCCTGGATATTTTGAAGTTGAGGCAAGCTCATATCAGAAGACGCAATCCAACAGATATCCTGGACCCAAACCACACACGGCAATGACAGCTCTTCATAATTCCCATGCCTATATGGGAGGGCTGTTTCTCAGGAAGGAACTCTGTCCAACTGTCCTGGGTGAAAGTGATTTTTTTCCAACTCCCTTTTTACTCTGCCTTTTGGGTAGAGCAGTACTTGTTGTTGTTTTTTTGTTTAGTTGCTTCCAACTCTTCGTGACCTTATGGACCAGCCCACGCCAGAGCTCCCTGTCGGCTCCTTCAGAGTTTAGCCAGTCACTTCATGGACACCATCCATCCATTTTGCCCTTGGTCATCCCCTCTTCTTTTTTCCTTCCATTTTCCCTAACAGCGTTGTCTTCTCTAAGCTTTCCTGTCTTCTCATGATGTGGCCAAAGTACTTCATCTTTGCCTCTAATCTCCTTCCCTCCAGTGAGCAGTTGGGCTTTATTTCTTGAAGTATGGACTGGTTGGATCTTCTCGCAGTCCAAGGCACTCTCAGAATTTTCTTCCAACACCACAGTTCAAAAGCATCTATCTTCCTTCACTCAGCCTTCCTTATGATCCAGCTCTCACATCCATAGGTTACTACAGGGAATACCATTGCTTTGACTATGCGAATCTTGGTTGCCAGTGTGATGTCTCTACTCTTTATTATTTTATCGAGATTGGACATTGCTCTCCTCCCAAGAAGTAAGCGTCTTCTGATTTCCTGGCTGCAGTCTGCATCTGCAGTAATCTTTGCACCTAGAAATACAAACCCTGTCCCTGCCTCCATGTTTTCTCCCTATATTTGCCATTTATCAATCAGTCCGGTTGCCAGAATCTTGGGGTTTTTTATGTTTAACTGCTACCCAGCATTTGCACTTTCTTCTTTCACCTTGTTTAGAGGGCTCCTCAGCTCCAGAACAGTCTTAAAAAGCTGCTAATCTGCAAGAAATGAATAGTAGGTTAACTGCACAGTTATCAGTTACACTCCATTTCCAAGTGCAATGCCATCTTACCTGTTGTTGGGAAAGGCCAAGTAACCCCATAAATTGTACGCTTAACAAGTCTGCCCCATGACTCCCCAGTGAAGCCTGAGCTGCAAAGTCCTAGAAGCGACACGTATCACATGTGGAAGAGAACAGCTTGCTTTAGGCATAAATAGGTTGTATGCTTCTATTGATTGATTCCAAGGCGAGTTAAACTTGGAGCCATGTTTCAAAACATCTTGACATACCCTGTCAATAGAATAACAGCTGAAATGCCAAAATACGATAGAAAGAACAAATGTGACGTGCATAGTTTGAAAACAGTGCTTGCATTTTTATGGTTGACTTCATGTGGGAGTTGTAGGTTTTTGTTGCTCTGTTGATGCCATATGTTTTGGGAGATTTCTATATAAAATTGGTTTAATTACTTGTTTGGGTTTCCAAGGCAGTGTCCACTCCAGCGCTGTGTTGTTAAATAAACTGCCGAGTGCCGTGTCCTCCCAGATTCCGTTTGTGAAACTCACTAGCCCCAATTTTAATGCTCCCCCTTCTTTTCCGTCTTCTTTTAGGATCTAGTGACTGGAAGGGAAAACCGTAAGGGCTTCCGCCATGGCCCCAAGAAAAAGGAGTGGACGAGGGATTTCGTTCATCTTCTGCTGCTTCCGAAGTAATGACCACCCCGAGATCACGTACCGGCTGCGGAATGACAGCAACTTTGCCCTGCAAACCATGGAGCCGGCTTTTCCAATGCCGCCGGTGGAAGAACTGGATGTTATGTTCAGTGAGCTGGTGGTGAGTACTGGTTTTGTCTTGTGAGGGGTTATAATTTGGGGAAAGATCAAGAAAGAAATCAAATTGAAGGGGCAAATGGATGAAGGATATCGTACAGGCATGGGCAAACTTTCTAACTTTGGGGCCGCATGCTGGCTTCCCGGTGCTGGAAGGAAGGAAGGGAAGGAGAAAGGAAAGAGAGATGAAAGGAAAGAAGGATGGAAGGAGAAGGAGGGAAAGAGGGAAGGTGGGAGGAAAGAGGGAAGGAAGGAATGACAAAAGGGAAGGGAAGGAGGGAAGGAGAAAGAGGGAGAGAGGGAAGAAGGAGGAAAGAGGGAAGGAAGGAAGACAAAAGGAAGGAAGGAAGGATGAAAGGTGGAAGGGAAGGATGGAAGGAAGAAAAGGAGAGAGGGAAGGGAGGAAAAAGGGAAGAAGGAAGACAAAAAGGGAAGGAAGGATGAAAGGGTGAAGGGAAGGATGGAAGGAGAAAGAGGAGAGAGGGAAGGGGGAGAAAAGAGGGAAGGAAGGAAGACAAAAGGGAAGGAGGAAGGATAAAGGGTGGGAAGGATGGAAGGAAGGAGAAGGAGGGAAGGGGGGAAGAAAGAGGGAAAGGAAAGGAAAGAAAGGGAAGGAAGGAGAAAGGGTGGAAGGGAAGGATGGAAGGAGAAAAGAGGGAGGAGAGGGAAGGAGGGAGGGAGGAAAGAGGGAAGGAAGGATGGAAAAGGGAAGGAAGGATAAGGTGGAAGGAGAAAGAGGGGAGAGAGGGAAGGAGGGAGGAAAGAGGGAAGGAAGAGACAAAGGGAAGAGGAAGGATGAAAGGTGGAAGGGAGGGATGGAAGGAAAATTCTTCATCAAATCCAAATAAATATTGAGGGGCAACTATAGTTTGAATTTTAAAGGAGGTGATAAATCTGTTTTGGGGATGGGGTCCATCACTCTGTCTCACTTCTCTAAAGACTTCCTCAAAAGACCAATGGGCCACAATTCCCACTGCTGAACAATAGTGCTGTGCTTCCACAAAAAGTTGCATACTGGATCTGAGCCTTAACTAAACACCTTGGAAAATGTCCCAGGTGTAGCTTCCCTGTCTAGCTTTTGGAACCTGGTCAGAAGAGGCTTAGAAGGAGATTTCTTCTTTAAATAAATTCCGGTAGCACGGCTACACCCATTGGCATGGTGGAAGTGCTTGCCACCTGTGATTTAATTGTCTCACTTTTTACAGAAAAAACGAGGTGAAATATCTTTGGCAACGAAGATTGGCAATTATACAGAGGTTTTCTTTTTAAAATCTGGAATCCCCAACAGAAGGACTCCCTGCCTCCACACGCCCTTCTTCTTATATTTATCTTGTAGGCTTATGGCCTGCAGATCATTCCGTATAGAACTGGGGTATGAATCCTCTATGAGTTTTAGTTCAAAGGAGTTGCGCACTGTCCCAGAAATAGGGCTCGGCATTTTGGAGAGCTCCTTCAAGGTTGGGGTAGACTCCAAAAGCAAATTCACGTGTATACACATTGATTTGGGAGACAGTAGCTGCCTTTGCGTCCACTGTGATATGCAATATGTGTTTCAGGCTTTCTTTATTCCTTGAATAAAAAGCACTTTTTATTCAAGGAATAGCAACAAGACAAAAGAAGTAAACAACTTTTGGATATATAACATTAAACACTACACAACTACATTCTGTCTATAGAATCATAGAATCAAAGAGTTGGAAGAGACCTCATGGGCCATCCAGTCCAACCCCCTGCCAAGAAGCAGGAATATTGCATTCAAATCACCATGACAGATGGCCATCCAGCCTCTGTTTAAAAGCTTCCAAAGAAGGAGCCTCCACCACACTCTGGGGCAGAGAGTTCCACTGCTGAACGGCTCTCACAGTCAGGAAGTTCTTCCTCATGTTCAGATGGAATCTCCTTTCTTGTAGTTTGAAGCCATTGTTCCTTGTCCTAATCTCCATGGAAGCAGTAAAAAAGCTTGCTCCCTCCTCCCTGTGGCTTCCTCTCACATATTTATACATGGCTATCATATCTCCTCTCATCCTTCTCTTCTTCAGGCTAAACATGCCTAAACATGTCTATACCCTACAACACTGGAGAAATTGCACTCCTTAGCTGGTATTGCATCACCTGACATCTGCCAGGCAGTAGCAGCCTGTAATGAAAGAACCAAGGCAGTGACATCTCCGGCCCATCCCCTATTTGGATATCAGCCAACATGCCAATGACTTAAATCAAGGTTTTCTAAGATCTACAGAGACACTTGCTGGATCACTCAGCAAGCGAGAGTCCAAAAGTGGCAGGCTCAAGCCCAGAACCTCAATCAATGGCTGATACCAAATGAGAGACTTCCCCTGGGCACACGGAAGACTGGGCGACTTGGAAGGCACTGAACAGACTGCGCTCTGACACCACGAGATGCAGAGCCAACCTTAAGAAATGGGGCTACAAAGTGGAATCCACGACATGTGAGTGTGAAGAAGAACAAACCACAGACCACCTATTACAATACAGTCAGAGCCTTGCCACATGCACAATGGTGGACCTTCTTATAGCAACACCAGAGGCACTCCAAGTGGCCAGATACTGGTCAAAGGACATTTAATAAAAGACCAAGTTTGCAAACTTTGTGTGTGTTTTTAAATTGCAATATAACTTTTTGGTTCTCACTTGACATGATAAATAAATCACAGAATCATAGAATCAAAGAGTTGGAAGAGACCTCATGGGCCATCCAGTCCAACCCCCTGCCAAGAAGCAGGAATATTGCATTCAAATCACCCCTGACAGATGGCCATCCAGCCTCTGTTTAAAAGCTTCCAAAGAAGGAGCCTCCACCACACTCCGGGGCAGAGAGTTTCATTTAAATCTTTAAACGAAAGCTGGATGGGCATTTGTTGGGAAGGATTTGTCAGTCAGTCAGTAGCCTTTATTTCGGTCAACAAACCATCGGCTTGTTGTTCATTCGTTCAGTCGTCTCCGACTCTTCGTGACCTCATGGACCAGCCCACGCCAGAGCTCCCTGTCGGCCGTTACCACCCCCAGCTCCCTCAAGGTCAGTCCAGTCACTTCAAGGATGCCATCCATCCATCTTGCCCTTGGTCGGCCCCTCTTCCTTTTGCCTTCCACTTTCCCCAGCATAATTGTCTTCTCTAGGCTTTCCTGTCTCCTCATGATGTGGCCAAAGTGGCCAAACCATCAGCTAAGTCAAGTGAAAGGATTTGTTTGCATTTCCCTGCATTGCAGAAGAGGACTGGACTAGATGGCCATTGGGGTTTCTTTCAACTCTGATTCCCTGATTCTAAGCCTCTTCTGTAGAATGTATTGTTGAAGGCTTTCATGGCTGGAATCACTCAGTTCTTGTGGGTTTTTTCGGGCTATATGGCCATGTTCTAGAGGCATTTCTCCTGACGTTTCGCCTGCATCTATGGCAAGCATCCTTAGGATGCTTGCCATAGATGCAGGCGAAACGTCAGGAGAAATTCCTCTAGAACATGGCCATATAGCCCGAAAAAACCCACAAGAACTGACCTCTTCTGTAGAGTTTTCCACTTTCTGCCAGCCGAGGACGGTCACGGTGAAGCCTGCGAGTGCCAGTATGGTTGTGCTGCCAAGAAGGCTTCCTCCTCCTGCCAAGCCCCCTTCAAAAGCATGAATGGCCATACGCCGGGGTATTTTGAGGTAGTTGGCACAGGCGGATCCGAATCTCCATCCAAGCAGGGCAAGCCCCTTGTCCCCTTGTTGTCTGCCGGGGCCACGTCTGCTCTCACTGCTGCCACACAGGGAGAAAAGGGGGCTGGGTGGAAAGAAACATTCACAAAAGGCTGCCGGAGCCTGGTCAGCTGCCGCTTTTGTTGATGCCGGCATTTCCCGGCGGCTTTGGAAAGGCTCAGCGTTGCTGGGGAAACCTACAAGCTTTCCCTGGACCGGCGATGACGGGGACATGCCTTGCTGCTTTCCAGTATTTTCAGTCTTTTGCCACAACTTGCTGGATGAATGCCCTCTGAATATTTCAAGAAGAAGGGGAATAGGGGAGGACGAAAGGTCACTTGGGGCAAAAGCTGTGACTGGGAGGAACTTCTGACAGTGACCCATTAAATATTGCAATGCTTGGGTCAAGTCGGGCTTTATTTTTGAAGACACCTCCAATTTAGATGCTCTTCTATGGAATGTTTCCCCCCTCCTAGTCTCCCTTTGTTGCAGCACCATCTGGCAATGACGTCCATATAATGCCACCAATTCATCTGCCCATCAGTACCGATGGGCAGATGAATTGCATTATCTTGAGCCTTCTTCTGATATTCAAACCAGGGTGCTTTTTAGAGTTAAAAAAATAGACTAGTTTCCAAGTTTTGGAATCTCCAAAATCACTTAAAACAGTGTTTCTCAACCTTCCTAATGCTGTGACCCCTTAGTAGAGTTCCTCATGTTGTGGTGACCCCCCAAACGTAACATTATTTCATACTTCATAACTGTAATTTTGCTACTGTTAGCAATCATGCCTTGGACTGCGAGAAGATCCAACCAGTCCATCCTCCAGGAAATAAAGCCCGACTGCTCACTGGAGGGAAGGATACTAGAGACAAAGTTGAAGTACTTTGGCCACATCATGAGGAGACAGCAAAGCCTGGAGAAGACAATTATGCTGGGGAAAGTGGAAGGCAAAAGGAAGAGCGGCCGACCAAGGGCAAGATGGATGGATGGCATCCTTGAAGTGACTGGACTGACCTTGAAGGAGCTGGGGGTGGTGACGGCCGACAGGGAGCTCTGGCGTGGGCTGGTCCATGAGGTCACGAAGAGTCGGAGACGACTGAACTAATGAACAACAACAACATGAATCATAATGTAAATGTCTGATATGCAGGATATATTTTCAAATCCCAAATACCCGATATGCCCAAATTTGAGTACTGGTGGGATGGGGGTGATTGATTTTGTCATTTCGGAATGCTGGAGTTGCTGGGATTTATAGTTTACCTAAAATCAAAGAGCCTTCTGAACTCCACCAATGATGGAATTTAA